TCTGAAAATAGCTTTTTAAAGCATCTTTCTCTTGTGACTACAATATCTTCTCTTATCTCCCTGAGAATAGTAATTACAGTTTTCTTGAAGTTATTTGGTAATTATAGTTTTCTGGAAGTGTCTGGTTTCTCACCCTGCCTTTCTTTCCTCCGAGTTTCCTTTTCCACTGTCCTGATCTCTCTTTCAGAGCCTTCTCCTAACTCCACGTTCATATTTAAGAGTGAAGTGCTAAACAGAGGGCCTTGGGCAATGGGCCAGACGTTTCAGGGGTCCCTCAAATTAAGATTCTTTTCCACGGGCATGCCAGTCTCCCTGGAGCAAAATATTCCCATTTCCTTTCTGTGGAGTATAAACCTGACTGTGTCCTGGGAGCCCCACCGAGTGGGAAGACTGGGAGTGTTTAGTGTTCCTTGAATAACACTTTCATTTAAAAGTTTGTTTTCAGTACACAGCCTCTTACTTCTCCACCACTTTGCCTGACATTCCGAGGCCGGCACTTCTCTTCAGAGGATATCCTTCCAGTTTCTGTCTGTTTGGTCTGGTTGGGAGAGGGCCGTTCACCCAGCCAACCCTCTGGCTGCCAGCCCCCTGCGTGTGCAGGGTTTTTTGTTGGCTGGTTGGTTTGCATGGGGTGGGAAAGACGTCTGGGCCTTTCCCTCTTCCTTCCTCATATTTTCAAACAAACCTGTTTTCTGCTTCATCTCTCTCGTCCGGAGGTTCCCAGGGCTTCTACGTCCTGAGTTCTTCCTGCTTCGGAGTCTTGATTCAGCTTCCTTCTCGCCCCTGGCCTCGTGCTCCCCGGGGCCAGAGTTCAGTTTCTCAGCTCTGGTAAGGCAATTACCCACCATCCGTCCATTTTCCATATTCCAAAAATTGGCTGACATCTGAACTCCGTGCTGACTTCTTTCCAGCACTCTTTGCCTTGTGGGATTTATTTATGATTTCTTATTTCTCTTCTATCATTTTTGTGAGGTTCGGGCAAACAGCAGAAATAAATGAGTGTTATGCATTTGATCTGCCAAATGGAAGCATACCCTTGAAATTTTTTCAGTCTTTTTATTTGTAAGTTCTGTTTTTCATGATTTAAGAATCCTTCCATATCGTATCTGTCGTAAAAATATTCACCTACAGTTTTTCCTAATGATTTTCAAGTTTTGTTTTTCACGTAACCTAGTTTCTTTTAGTAGGGGGTGGGAATTTTGAAACTAATTTTATCGTTCCCACATAATCAATTGTAATCTTACCATTAATAGATTAGTCTACTGTTTCTTCCTGATCTGTAATGTTTCTGCTATTATTTTAGAAATTTCCATATATGCTTGGGGCAGTTTCTAGGCTTTCTAATTTGTTCTATTGATTTATTTGTCTATTCCTGGGCCAATAACACTTAATTAGAACTGCTCTATATCTCAGTATTTATTTTTAGATCTTTATTTTTCCCTATAAATTTTAAAATTTTGGCAAGTTCTACAAAATATATTATTTAGGGATTTTAGTTGGAATAATAAATATATAGGTTAATTTGAGGAAAATTTACATCTTTATAATTTTCAGATCTGCCATTTAGGAAAGTGATAAATTTTACAATCTATGCGGGCCTTTTGTGCCCCTAATTCCAGTTTTGTAATTTTCTTGCACATATTTTGTTATATTTATTCCCAGGTAATGCACACTTCTGTTATTAATATAAATAGTATATTTTTCCATTATATTTTAATTTTTTAGTATATATTTCCATTATATTTTATTAGAGATGGCCAGTTACAGAAACGGTGGATTTTTGCATACTGAACTTGATTCCAATAATCTTTCTAAACTCTTTTATTAGTTCTAATATATTTGTTGATTCTCTTGAATTTTCTCTCTCTCTCTCTCTCATACCGTCTTTGTTGTCCAAATTGGGTATCAACATTCTACCAGCCTGATTTTATTGTCTGAGAAACATAAGTTTCTGGAAATACTTTATTTGAATAAAAGAGAGTATGTGGGGGGTGGGCAGGGCATGGGGGTGGTTGCGTTCTATTGCCTTTTAAAATGTTTGAAATATCTGTTCCGTTTGACAAAGTACATATTTTAAGCTAGAAGAATGCATGTTTTTCATGGAATTACATGAAGCGATTTCAGTGTTAAATAAAAAAAAGTATGGCCTGCCCTTCCTTTTCCTGAACTGACACACGAGCGAAATAGAGTAGGTCACCACTGATCTACGTGATTACGAATAGTCAGCTGGAACTGAGAGAATGCGAGTCATCCAGATGTTTCCAAATGTCTCGTTGGGTTTGTTATGGTTGGTTAGATAGGTACAGCCCATGCCAGACAAGCTGTTCTTTATCTGGGATGATCCGAGTGGGAAATATATTCTGCAGAAACTTCCTACATAAATCCTGTGTATTTTTAGTGCTGTTTACAAATGACCTCTGGAAAAAGTAAGAGCTGTGGAACTCAAGTTTCCCATGGCAGAAATTGGCAACATTTATCTTTTTCTTTCTTTTTATTCCCTCTCCTTTCTTTTTCATTCTTGCTTAATTAAAAAAAAAACCTGTAAAAACAAAAATGAAAAATTATCTTTGTATATTATGTTGGATAGCACATAAAATTTGTTAAATTATTCTTCCAACTATATAGTTTCTCCACAACAAGTCTATTTTCAAATATACAAAATAGGCTGAATGGTTGCTCATCCACCATAAGCCTGTACATGAGGTATTTAGAATTTATCTGGGGAAGCATACTTCTCTTTTCTAAAAACACAAACCCCAAAATACTTCGCCATTTATCTTCTAAAAACCATACAAAATACATGTCCTTTCCATGTTTCCTGCTGATAATATTCTCCTCATTTGTTGCATAGCTTTTCTTTCCTCTGGGAAGCTGGTACTTATTTTATTCATAGATTGCACATTACGCCCTGAATGTTGTGCAACCAAAGAGCATTACTCACACAAGCAGAGAGAGTGCTGCTTAGGATATAATCAGCAGTGGCCGAGGAAAACAGCACGTTAAAACAAGCCTCACTGAGTTGTGGACCACACCACCTGGAGACACAGGGCCCCAAACATCTCTGGACACAGATCCCATATTCACCCAGACGCCACCGACTGAGTTGCTTTCAGCGTTCACTGATGTCTGTCCTGTAGTATCTTCAAGCTCCGCCATTTACCAGACTGTGAAGTATATATTCTACCTTCACAGCCTGTCTGGGTATGGGACATCCCGAGTGGCCAAGCTGTGCTCTCACAGTTAATTTCCAAATCCTTTATTTGGGCTTAGAAGACATTTTCCCATAGGAACAACGTTATAAAATGACGACGTTCCACGGATGCCCGGTTGAGCTACAGGTGTCCTTGAAATGTGGCACTGACTGTCCGTTCTGTTTCCCTGGGCAAGGGCACTCTGAGGCCTGACTTGGGATGCTTGCGGCTCACCTGTCCCTCTGCCTGGCGCCTACAGTACAGTAGCAGTTGGTGAGAGAGGACAGGGTGGCCTTCCCAAGAGAAGAATGAGTGTAAGGTGATGCGGATGCCTCAGGGTAACTTGTTCACGCTGCAGGGCTGACGGAGTCCACTTCCCGTTTGGACCAGTCACTTCTCATCCTTCTGAATGAGGCACAGAGGCCAGAGACTTTTTCCTAAGCAGAGATCATTTCTTAGTCGGAGCTTCATAAACAGGGAAAGGGTTATACAGTAAAACCTCCGATTTTTGAAGACCAAGCTTCTGGAATTGTAATTAGCCAAGGAAAATATTTTAATTCTTCTTGGTCAGTGATGAAATGGCCTCCAAACACGCAGCAATAATAAGGCATAAATCTAGCACCTCACCCCGAGCTTGACAAATAGTAGTAAGTGCTGATAATTTTTCATTGTTGTTGAATCAAGTACTGGTGGAGTGAATCCTATGTTTAAAGAGCACAAGACCACAGATCGAATGCACACTTGTGCCAGTTAACTTCATTCTGATTCAGCCTCTCCAGTTCCGACCTTCTTCCAGCACACATCCTACCAATCAAGGGTGGGTCGGAGTACTTTCAAGAAGTCACTACAAACCCTGGCTGGCATAGCTCAGTGGATTGAGCGTGGGCTGCAAACCAAAGTGTCGCGGGTTCGATTCCCAGTCAGGGCACATGCCTGGGTTGCAAGCCTGGGCCACCAGCAACTGCACATTGATGTTTCTCTGTCTCTCTCTTTCTCCCTCCCTTCCCTCTCTAAAAATAAATAAATAAAATCTTTTTAAAAATTCTAAAAAAAAAGTCACTACAACACCAGCCACATCTCTGTGGGCATATGCATTCATTCATCCATACCAGCCCCAAAGTAGGTGCTGGGTATCTCCATGCCCTCTCTGCTGGGCACACTTTTCGCCACTGTCTCCCCATTGACAAGTGAGGGGAAGGACAGAGGAGGTGCTGTGGAACACCAGGAAGGCTAGCCAAGCCCCGCAGGACTCTACCTAGCTGTGTTTCTGGTACCACGCTTACTTTGGCAAACATTACCTGCTAAAAAAAAAAAACACCTCAGCCTTTTTAGTCAGTTATCTTTACAACACGTGTAGACACATTTTAGGGGTTTGTGCCTCCCTCAGGTTAGAATTTAGTCTGGATACCAGACCTGGGTCCCCGTCATTTCAGGCTTTAACATTACACAATGATTTTATTTCACTTCGTATTTACAACTACTTTGAAAAGAAATACACTGTTTAAGGCTCCCTCAATTAAAAAGCCTTCCCCACCCCCACCCGGACTCAACTTACAGACTGTTAACTTTTAGTCTCCTAGACGGCTTTCTCTTTTAAAGTTCCATTCGTGTTCTACAAGACAGCCTCTTTCTCCAAGATTAACATTTCTTATGATTGTTCCTGACAATGGATTCGCTTCCAGAGGCCCTGCTAAGGATAACCAAAAAAGGGCATGGAGCAGGCTGGTTTTGGCAGCCGGCGCGCAGTTTCTGAGCTTTTTAGGTCTTGGTTTTTCTGATGAGTGATTTCCTGAGCATGCCTAGGGAATGACAGGCATCTCCACGGGCAGGCTGCATCCACCTCGGCCGAGGTGTCGTCATTGGCTGCCTATTAGAAAAACCTACAGGACAATGCATACCACCGACTGCCGACTGTAAACACAGGGGATGTGTGTTCACTTAGCACGGACTTCTGGGAGGGGCTAAGGAAGGGCGGTCTGCCGTTTTATTGAATAGAGCAGTGTGTGCCCGGCTGCCTGCCTGCCTGCCCTCTCGCTGAGCTCCCGCTTAAAGAAATCGGTCCTTCCTTTCAGACTCGGTCCCCGGGAAGACGTTTCAGCCTATGAGGTAAGGCACAGAGGACTTTCTTTTCATCTCTTCCAAGAGAGTCTGGGGACTTTCCCCTCCCGAGTTGCAGTCCACATTCCTGGCCAAAGTGGCCGGAGATGCAGGACTGTAAAAACCAATAAACCATGCAAATTCTCTGAGCCAGACGGAGCTTCGCTGCCCTGCAGATGTTCCCGGAAGACAAACAGGATGAGGTTTCAAGTTTTGTTCTCCGAGTTGGGACAGGAGGAGAGATCGTCTAGAGACGTAGAGGCGGGGACCACCGGCAACTTTGACGAGAGTAGCCTTTTGTTTAGGAGTGCTGCGAGGGGTTTACCTGGCCGCCCCGGGCCAGGGTCCCTGCGCCTGCCGTGCCCCTCTGCTCATGTCGGCAGTTTCTCCTGCATCCTTTATTATCAAAGATTTAAAAAAGCTTTTGCTTTTAACGACAACAATGACTTCTTAGGTTGATGGGAAGCCAAAAAGTAATGCACTTTTTTTTTTTAACCAAAGGCGTTTATATTTTATTCTGCTACCAGTATTTGAGACTAGACTTCTAGAGCTGGGAGGAAATCAGGTCAGAGACAGAGTCCTGACACTGAGCACTGGTTGGGTGAATGTAACTGATCTGATATTTGCTTGGGAAGAAGATGCCTACCACAGTCTGTTTCCTATAAAACCTAATAATCAGAGAATGCATGCACTGGTGGGTGTGTTTTTAGGAATCGCTTTCAACAGCCCACCGAACCATTTCTTGAGAAATCTTATTTTCTGTTCGAAAGTGTGCCTGAGCATGACTCGATTATTTGAAAAGCTGTAAGTTACAAGCGTGTCCCCAGAAAGGGAGAAAACAGTTATTCGTTGCAAGATAGTCAGACATATTTGGGCAACTGCAACAGTAGTATCAGGCAGCTGGTCAGTGGTAGCCTGGAATTCCTTCTAGAAAGAGCTGATTGTAAAGGGTGGGGGAATTTTAGTGGTGTGGCAATCCATGGTCGAAAAACGTGAATGAGAACCAAGTAGTTGGTGTTCGAAGATCCCTTGTGTGAACAGGTCTGTGCAGACTTGTAAACTGGAATAGTAAATAAAGTCTTTCTACTATGTTTGGCAAAACCAGACATGTAGGACTGGAGCTGCAGTGAAGGCTAGGAGACACGTGGCCAGAAGGGCAAATCTGATCAATTTTAGAATAAATCTGGATATTCAAGGTTCCAGCTCCAAACGGCTGGCTCCATTCGATTTGAATGCATGGAGCGAGGTGGTTTTATGTTGAGATTCAGATTCATGAAGTCATCTTTCCGCTTTGTATTTAGAAGTCGGGGGATAATTTTCTTGAGAATGTCTCTTTCTCCTTCCAGAAGTGATACATGATAACAGAATTCCCTGTGAATTTCTTTTCCTGGAACAGTCCCGAGTACGTGTGAGAGAGAGGCTGTGGGCAAGAGCTATAGTTTGATTATCGTCCTTCCCGCGAAGAGATCAGGTTCCAAACTATCTTCACAGTGTTTTTCATGTCAATCAAAATATGGAAAGCAATTTCTTTTCAACTGTCCTCCAAAACCATGTAGGGAATGCAGTTTGGAAGGAGATCTGTAATCTTGGGATCTGAAGATAAATTCCGTTTTGAAACCAACATCTTCAAGCCCCTGAAAGTTCAGACTTTGCGACCTCCACTTTCTCCTCTCTTCGCGCGCTCTCACAACCATAAAAACAGATTTTTCAAAAGAGTCCTTTAAGTGACTCTACTCATACTCTAGTGATGGAGCAAAGGGCCTCGATATCTTACTGTATGTTAAACTTTAGGCAGCTCTGTGTGCTCCTTTCCTCCTGTTGAGTATCAGCTAGAACGCATTCCCCTAAACAGGGAGGTAAAGAGAGCGCCATGGAACTGCTGTGCAAGAATTTTCACTTTGCTAAAATTATTTAATAAAGAGAAGTACAAAGGTGTGCACACTAGGAACGTACGATGCATTAAACCATAGGTAATAACGTGCAGGGTTGTTTCCTTGTTCAAAGCCAGGAGAAATGTGCAACGTAAATAATTCAGATAAAAAGATTACTTTAGCCCTGGCCGATGTGGCTCAGTTGGTTGGAGTGTTGTTGTCCTGTAACCAAAAGGTTGCGGTTCTGTCCCATGTTAGGGCACATCCCTAGGTTTCGGGTTTGATCCCTGGCATATATGATGCCCGGCCTGGGCACGAACAGGAGGCAACCTATTGATGCTTCTCTCTTGCATCAATGTTTCTCTGTCTGTCTTCCTTCTCTCTCTCTAAAAGCAGTGAAAAATGTCCTCAAGTGAAGATGAAATACATTTTTTTTAAAGATTGCTTTACACAGATACAATTCTTTCATAAGAGAGGAGAACCAGGTTTGAACTGCAGCTTAAAGGATTTAAATGAGATACAAATAAGCATGCCCTGACCGTGAGGCTATTAATAATTCTAACTGGCTCCAAAGACTGGCCTAGGGAATCCTCTTCTCTGGGGCAATAGGTTGGTCCTATGTCCGGCTGTGGAAAGTTCCAGAATCCAGCCTGGGTAGTCCCTGTTCTGATAAGTAAAAAGCATCTGAGTAGGCCTTCTCTTAAAAACACGTGTAGTTGTCTCCATTTGTCCTGTTCACGGTAGCATATTTACTAGTCAGCCCTCCTTTACGAGAGTGACTTATCGTAAAGTCACAAAAGTGACTTATCGATGGTCATGGAAAGGGGTCAGCTTGGTCCCCAGCTGCCTGCAATCTATCACATGTCTCAGAAATGTGGTGGGGCGAGGCTGTGGTGGGGGGACAGGGGAAAACGCTGACAAAGTGGTATGCAAATTACATGGTAGGGCTAAGGAGGAGGTTAAGAGGATGCTGCCAAAGAATTTCCAGACTTTAAAAAAGAGTTTTCTGGGTAAATTCTCTCAGAGCCTGAAAATAGAACCATTAGCTCCTTACTGCAAGTCCTTCATCTGTCCGGCCAACCCAAGTGTTTTGGAGAGAAGCCCATAGGTTCTCAGCAGTTGGGTAATTAAAAGAGATACCCGACTGGCCTCACGGCCACTGCTTACCTAGTATCCCTAATTATCTGTTCCTTCCTCACATTTGAGGATCCTTGCGTGGTACCTTCTGGATCTTAGTTCTTTCTAGAACTTCGAGCCCAGAGTCCAGGAAATACTGGTCCACCCCAGTGTTGTCTAAGTTTTGGCCTTGATAATCAAAGACAAAAGAGACACGAGTATCAGGAGGCGGAATAAGATGGGTTATCAGCGGTGCGAGGCCGTACCCAGGAATCAGGAAATCGGAAGATCCAGTCGAGTAGAAGACCGATGACAGGCCGCTGACAACAGAAAGGCCGTAGTAAATGAGGCAGCCCCTCTGCCTCCAGCCAAAAGCATGGAACTAATCCCAGCATGTCAGGCCGGGGGCCTTGCGGGGAGGGCGAGATAATCAGGAGCACCTGGCTGTGGTTCCTGCTGAGATTGAGACCAGACTGCCCCCTGGATCTGGCCTCTCACCCCTGTGTGCCTCAGTCTTCGGGCTCCCCAGCTGGCTCTGCCGGAACCGACTCCCCGTGGCACCCTGCACTTCCCTACCCCTGGTCCTCCACCCCCACCACCGTCCCTAGCTCCTCCACCCTCAGGCCAAAACGGGGCTTTCCTGACCCAACACTGACAGTTTGCAACGGCCCAGCTCTGGGATGAGGCCCAGGGAACGGAAGGGTCAAGCCCAGATGTGCTCGAGAGAAGGAAAAGCCTCTTTCCTTCTTAAGGCAGGAGAAATGTTAGAGCAGGCAGAGTGGGGGGTACAGTGATGTGTGTGGTGAAGAGCCATTCTGCTTCTCAGCCCCAAGCGCACGGTTGGCTGGCAGAGGTGAGGGGACAAGACGGAAGGGATGACCTTGAGGAAAAGAGGTGACGGGTGGCCCTGGCAGGTCTTCTCTGTGTTGTTGTTATGGGCGCCTTTGGGAATCTGTAAAATCTCCAAGTCCTGATGGTCCTTCCTGAACCCGCTCTTTGTGACTGACCCAGGAGAAACCCCTGAGCTGGGGGAGGGTGGGGGTGGGAGTGGTGTGAGGCCTTCATTTCCATTGGACACGAGGATGGAGGCGTCAGAACAGGAGCAGAGGTGTTCTTTCTAGTTTCCCCTGCTCTTTGGAAGGAAGAAAGGATGCTGTAAATACCCGGATGTCTAGAAGGAGATGACCTCAGGTGGCCTCCATCTCAAAGATGAGGAGACCACCTCTAAAGAAGCATTTCCTGGGAGCTCGTAGGGGCCGGAGAAGTCAGGAAGGGCAGCTGGTGATGTGGCTGAGAGAAGGCAGAGAGCTCAGAACAAGGATTGCGAAGCAGCCTTGAGGGGACCGTGGAAGGAGAATAATTTCTTCTCAATGTTTTCAGTGAGTTGGGTGTTCTTAGTAAGTACTCATTTTAGTATATGGCTTTTCTTTGAAAATATATAGGATGGATAAAGTGAAGATAAATGGCTTTTTAATCATTTCCTGAGGCTTTTGGCATTGTTCTGTGAATATGCGGATGAAAGCACTTGACTTGAAGGAAATCATCTCACTTGGAGAGAGACACATTAAGTAGAAATATATGTAATTAGTTCCTTTTACACCCACATGTTACATTCCCAAGCTGCAACCAGGCGGATTTCACCTCTGTGCTAATGATGGGCAGGACCGGGGCCCCAGGGCGGGGTGCCAGAGGCAGGAAGGACATTAGTTCCGTGGGACATGAAACGCAACAATGGGCTGCCTTGTGAGGGCGAGAGATACCACAGAGAAACGGCAAAGATCAGAAGTCGGGCAGAGGTTTAGAAACCAAGGGTTTGCTTAGCAAGACAGTGTACGGGCAGGTACAGTGACGACGTGAGAGCACTTGGCTCAGAGCTCGGGGCAAGGAGACCCTAATGTTAAATAGCTTCAGTAGCTGCAGCAGAGAGACAGGATCACAAGATACACGCGGAGTAGTAAAGCGATGGGATCATGAGGAAGTCCAAGAACAGAAGCCAAGCTAGGAGCAGGGTCCAGGGAGGGT